TCATGCCACTGCTACTGCTCATGCTACTGCTCATGCTACTGCTACTGCTCATGCCACTGCTACTGCTCATGCTACTGCTACTGCTCATGCCACTGCTACTGCTACTGCTCATGCCACTGCTACTGCTCATGCTACTGCTGCTGCTCATGCTACTGCTCATGCTACTGCTACTGCTCATGCCACTGCTACTGCTCATGCCACTGCTACTGCTCATGCTACTGCTCATGCTACTGCTACTGATCATGCCACTGCTACTGCTACTGCTCATTCATGCCACTGCTACTGTTCATGTTCATGCCACTGCTACTGCTCATTCCACTGCTACTGCTCATGCCACTGCCACTGCTCATGCCAGTGCTACTGCTCATGCCACTGCTACTGTTGCTGCTCATGCCACTGCTGTTTCCACTCCTGCTCATGCCACTGCTACTGCCACTGCTCATGCCGCTGCTGCTGCTACCACTTTGCCACTGCTACTGATACTGCTGATGTCACCTGCTGTTTCTGTGCATTTCACCCCCATCTTCCTGTAAAATCGTCCACGAGAATCATCGAACCAACCCTTTAAAAATTATCCTGGCGAAGGACCCAACCAGATGCAGTTGCGAGTGCCGCAATTGTGAGTATCTTCTTCGATGGCGCTCCCTATGGGGCCACGAAGCGTGTGAGGGGTGTGCCGAAATCTGTGCGGTGGGCGCATGGGAGCGCAGCCACTGGGGCCTTCGCTGGAGCTCCCTATGGGGCCACGAAACGTGTGAGGGGTGTGCCGAAATGGGTGCGGTGGGCGCATGGGAGCGCAGCCACTGGGGCCTTCGCTGGAGCTCCCCATGGGGCCACGAAACGTGTGATGGGTGTGCCGAAATGGGTGCGGTGGGCGCATGGGAGCGCAGCCAGTGGGGCCTTCGCTGGAGCTCCCTATGGGACCACGAAACGTGTGAGGGGTGTGCAGGAATGGGTGCGGCGGGCGCATGGGAGCGCAGCCACTGGGGCCTTCGATGGCGCTCCCTATGGGGCCACGAAGCGTGTGAGGGGTGTGCCGAAATCTGTGCGGTGGGCGCATGGGAGCGCAGCCACTGGGGCCTTCGCTGGAGCTCCCTATGGGGCCACGAAAGCGTATGAGGGGTGTGCCGACATGGGTGCGGTGGGCGCATGGGAGCGCAACCACTGGGGCCTTCGCTGGAGCTCCCTATGGGGCCACGAAACGTGTGAGGAGTGTGCCGACATGGGTGCGGTGTGCGCATGGGAGCGCAGCCACTGGGGCCTTCGCTGGAGCTCCCTATGGGGCCACGAAGCGTGTGAGGGGTGTGCCGAAATGGGTGCGGTGGGCGCATGGGAGCGCAGCCGCTGGGGCCTTTCGCTGGAGCTCCCTATGGGGCCAAGAAGCGTGTGTGGGGTGTGCCGAAATGGGTGCGGCGGGCGCATGGGAGCGCAGCCACTGGGGCCTTCGATTGCGCTCCCTAGGGGGCCACGAAGCGTGTGAGGGGTGTGCCGAAATCTGTGCGGTGGGCGCATGGGAGCGCAGCCGCTGGGGCCTTCGGGAGCTCCCTATGGGGCCACGAAACGTGTGAGGGGTGTGCCGAAATGGGTGCGGGCGGTGGGCGCATGGGAGCGCAGCCACTGGGGCCTTCGCTGGAGCTCCCTATGGGGCCACGAAACGTGTGAGGGGTGTGCCGAAATGGGTGCCGCATAGAGCTCCCTATGGGGCCACGAAACGTGTGAGGGGTGTGCAGAAATGGGTGCGGTGGGCGCATGGGAGCGCAGCCACTGGGGCCTTCGCTGGAGCTCCCTATGGGGCCACGAAACGTGCGAGGGGTTGATGATGATGATGATGATGACGATGACGATGATGATGCTGATGATGATGATGATGATGCTGATGGTGATGATGATGATGATGATGATGGCAGGAGGGAGGGGGCAGCGGGAGGAGTGAACGCGGGGCGCTGTCTCTTCAAAACGAGGACCCAACACCACAGGATGGTTGGGAATAAAGCTTCCAAACAGTCATAATCAGAGCGCATTCGTGGTATCCCAGACCAACTAAGTTAAGGGCGAGCATACGTTCACTAAGTTAAAGGTAAAGGCGCCAAAAACTAAGTTTCATTCTGAAGTGAAAAATCGAAGTTATGTTATTTAACCCACAAGAACACTAACATAGTTTTCTGAGGGTGGCCGATCCTAGGGGTCGAATGTTCCAGTCCCTCCGCTCGTCAGCCTCCAAGCCGCGTGGGTGGTGCACGGCGGCCCTAGAGCAGATTGTGAGGATGTCTCAGGCGGGGTGCTGGTTTCAGCACCCCTGAGGGGAGCCGCCAGGGGTGTTTCATGGGCCCGTTCGCGGCCAGTTTGTGGGGATGTCTCAGGCGGTTTGCTCGTTTTCATGCCCAACATTCTTGGCTTGACGTCACTTGACATAGCACATGGCAAGACACAAAACATGGCATGGCATCCTCATCGCAGACGCCCGCTATGGCATGACGTACAACATGAGATGCACATATGGGGAGCTCCACGCAGGGGGTAATTTGGCCTTTTACAAAGGCTGCCAGCGGCGCGGCGGAACTAGTGCCACAGGCGCATGCGCGACAGGCATTGCTGGAAAGGGACCCGTAACTCGCACCGGAAGACGGAAGCTTGTGCTTTCTTTTTTGGCCCTCCGCCTCCCCTCGACCACCTGGGCGCTTGCCTACCTGCCCCATGCCCGCCAGCACAGCGTGAACGATGCCCGACTCGCATGTTCCGTGCCGAGCAGTACACTGGCAGGGCTGCGCAGGCATTGCCATCGGTTATGGGTCGGTCGGAACATTTCATCCTCGACCTTTTCTGTGGGCGTCGACGGCCAGGGGATTTTCAGGCATCGCTCGAGTGGGCGGCATGCAATACGGACTTTTCGGTCAGCGCACTATCGATCGACATCGCCATCGACCCCGTGCTTGGCAACATGATGCGCTGCGAATCCTGGGAAGTTTGGGAGGGGCACAGTCGCGCGCAACGGGTGGCGCTGTCCGGCGGGGGGGGGCATGCGAGACGCAGTCAGCTATCCGATGGGCCCCCAACATGGGCCCCCCACCGTTGCGTTCCCATGGCGATTTCTGGGGGCTATTGGCTGCGACCCCGCGACAGATGCACCAGCTCAGGGTGGGGGGCGAGTTCCTAGGGTCCTAGGGGCTATGATCGTATTTTTCGCAGTGCATCTGACAGTCGGAACCAGTCTTTGGATGGGGCACCCCATGCCGGCAAGTTGGCGAGCAGAGGCAGTCAGCTTTTTTCCCTGGCCCAGCGCTCAGAGCGGCGGCGACCCCCCCGGCGGCGACAACTGCCAACTTCGATCAGCGTGGGCATGGCCAGGTAGCGCGAGCACCTACGCGCATCCTCGCGCCGCGAACGGGCACGCTGCGCGACCGCCTATGCGAGGCGCCAGGGAGGGGGCGCTGCTCGTGCCCTCCAGCGCTGTGCCAGGTCCTTGCGGACGGCACCATGGACGCAGTTCGCCGCATGTATGCGTCATGTGAAGGAAGGGAATGGCTTGGGGACATGGGGGAAGGAGGATCAGCTCCGTGAGTCGCTCAGGGTTTTTTTCTGCGTAGAACGGGGCCCCCCATACCTCGGGGCAGACGAGGCCCGGGCCACAGAATTGCGCGCCCCCTGGGCGGGCCCGCGCGGGCCCCGAACGGCGCAGGTTTTTTACCACTTGTGCCGACGGAAGCAGAAGTTGCGCTTGCACCGGGGGCCGTTTTCGACCCTGGGGCGACGCCGCGGGGCCCAGGCCCAATCGAGGCTTCCTACGAGCAAGGGCGCGTTGAAGTTCTAGCCTTCGTCGAAGGCAACGGCGTACATCAGCCGGATGACGCGGGGCCCCTTGCCCACGCCCCCCCCCTGCGCGCCGCCCCCTCCCCCGCAGCCAGTAGAGCTCGTTGAAGGCTTCGGCGACGCATTGCATGCAATCGCGCGCAGGCTAGGGGGCGTCGCAGGCTGCGTCGCGCCAAGCAGATCGCCCTATAGACGTTGCAGGCCGAATTCGGCGTTGGGATTTTCGATCAGGCGCGAAACTGGTCAGCTTGGTGGAAGGGGCGGTCGGGCAGGTTAAGAGCGGGGCGGAGGATGGAGCGGCGGCAGATTCGCGCCGCTGCCAGCCTCGCCCATGCAAGTATCAGCTTGACGGGCTATTTTCCATTCCCACTTCCATGGCCGTTGGGCCATTTGTGCGAGACGTTTCCCACTTCGTCCCCATTTATCCCTCCCCCTCTCGCTCTTTCCCATCCCTCTTTCGCTGCCCGCGCCCTGCCCCCCCTCTGACTGGCGCAGAAGCAGAGAGGGTTGGGGGCGGCGAGCGGCGCGGCGGAGCGGCAGCGAGCGCCCGCGCGCGGCTGCCGCCCGCCCGCGCCGAGCACGGCGGGCATTTTCGGGGGAGGGTCGAGCGAGCGACGATGTTCGTCTCGAGCCTCTAGGAGACGCAGGTCGCCAAGTTTGGCAGTTCAGGTCAGAACGCGGCTTGTGCATCCCCCCCGCCCGCCAGGCATTCGCGCCTCCGCCCGTCGGGGTGAGGAGCTGAGGTGCAGAGGCAGAGGAGAGCAGAGCTACTCGTTTAATTGGGGGCATGTTGTTTGGTTTTCCGCGCGCGCATGTCGCGAGTGCTCCTCTCACCCATGTCATGTGCAACCTTGATTGAACTGACTCGGCGATCAGGGCCGCGTCGCCAGCGTCGGTCAGAGACCGCCCAACGTTTCTGTGCCGCTGCCGCGGACCTGGCCACGGTTGAAAGTTTCACTGCGCACTGATATTTAACCTTAGGTGCACGTGCAGAGTTTTCGAAATTCGACGTTTAGTGCAGCTGCTGACTGTGGTGAATTGTATTAGGAAGCTGCGTGCTATCTTCAACAGCGTCGCAATGTTTAGTCGATCCCCCCTCTTCCCCCTCCCCCTCGGCGGTGGCGGGGCAGGACGGCGGCGGCGGCAGGGGCCGCGGGGTGCTCTGTCTCCCCTGGGGCCGCCGCCCCCCGCAGGAGGAGAGCGAGAAGTCCGCCGCTGAGGCCGCCGAAGAGGATGGAGAAACGAGGAGAAGGAATGGGGGAGCAGGAGGGAGGTTGGAGGCGGGGGAGGACGAGGAGGAAAAGGGGGGGAGGGGGAGGAAGACGGGGCGGAAGGGGGGGAAGAGAAGGAAGAGGGAAAAGGAGGAGGAGGAGGAGGACGGGGAACAGGAGGAGGAGGAGGAGGAAGAGGAGGAGGAGGAGGAGGAGGAGGAAGAGGAGGAGGAGAAAGGAGGGAGGAGGAGGAGGGAAGAGGCGGAAGAGGAGGAGAGGAGGAGAAGAGGAGGAAGAGGAGGGGCGGAGGAGGAGGAACAGGAGGAGGAGGAGGAGGAGGAGTAGGAGGAGGAAGAGGAGGAGCAGAAGGAGGAGGAGAAGGAGGAGGAGGACGAGGAGGAGGAGGAGGAGGACGAGGGGGGGGGAGGAGGAGGAGGAGGAGGAGGAGGAGGAGGAGGAGGAGGAGGAGGAGGAGGAGGAGGAGGAGGAGGAGGAGCAGAAATGGAGGAGGAGAGGGAAGAAGAGGAGGAGGAGGAGGAGGAGGAGGAGGAGGAGGAGAGGAATGGGGAGGAGTAGGACCGGGTCGACTAGGCAAGGGGAAGCGTCATGCTTGGCGGCGCCGTCCAGTTTCCCCCCTTTTCACGTGGGCCACGAGGGTGGAACGTCAAGGTAAAAACCCAATTTGGGCAGTCTTCATATCCCGTCCTGCTCGGCGGTCGAAAACCACCCAGGCTCTTACCTTGCACCCTGGAGGAGTGGAGTTGGGAGGGGGACGAGGGAGGCGGGAGGACGACTCGGAGGAGGAGTAGGAGGACCTGTGCAATCCCAAGACGCATCAATGATGGTTATGGCTCCTGGACATCGTTCCTTGGGTTTCAACCATGCGAATCTTCCAAACGGTTGCTAGCTTTTCAGACCAATGAGCGCGGTGTTAAAGCGAGAGCAACACTTTGAAAAGGAACCGCCCTTCATTCATTCTCGAAATTGTTGCAAGTTTTTAAGTCGAATGTGCGCGTCGCTAGGGCGACTGCCATATTTTGAAGACGACCCGCCCTCCACCCTTGAAGCGGTTGCGAACTTTGAAGACCAATGCGCGCGTCGGCAAGGAGATAGCTCCGTTTGGAGAACGGCCCGCCCTCTATTTTTGAATTGGTAGCAAATGTTTAAGACGAAAGTGCGCGACGCCAAGGCGAGAGCAGCATTTTGAAAACGACCCGCCCTCCAGCCGTGGCACTGTTACAATGTACAGAGCGAACGCGCGCGCCGTTAAGGCGAGACCTACGTTTTGTAAACAGCCCGCAGTTTTGAACCGAACGCGCGGTGCCAAGGCGAGAGCCACATTTTGAAAACGACCCGCCCTCCATGTCGCAACTCTCAAGCTTCAGGATGATACATGGGGAGGACGCCTCGGGCGAAACGCCTAGCCCGCCCTATCGACACGTTGGGGGGGTGCGGCAGGGATGGGTCATTTAGAAGGAGAGTAGAATGGAGGAGTAGGAAGAGAAGTGTGAGGATACGAAGGGTGCTGTATGCTTGGATGCCCCTCTTTTCCCCCTACTGCTCCTCTTCCTCGCACTGTCATGCTACCCATGCCCCAGCACACTTGTCACGCTACCCATCCGAATATCAATGCTCCCCAGTCACGTTGGGCGTGCTATTGCTTGTTGGGTGTTATCCGTCCATCCCCTCCCTCGACTTGCTGCATGCCTCCTCTACGCCCTTGTGTGCTCATATAATTGCACCTTTGCTTTCCGTTGTTTCGTCCGCTTGCGGCGTGCATTTCAGGTCCCTTAGCTTTGCTTTACTAGGCTGCCCGTAATTAAAGTGCTTAGACGCTGCGATCTAGTGATCAGAGTCTGTGCAACATAGAGAGGATCCATGTCGGAAGTCTCCACTTGCCTTTTGCGCTATCCTCGCATTGCCGAGTTTGTGACGAACCCGTACGCTCTTGAGGGAAATCTCACGATTTCATTGAAGCGACTGAAGGATCATCCTGTTGAGCTTACCCGGGCCATTGCATTGGAACACCTTCAGCAAGGCCAGGGAATTGCAGAGGAGCAGGACAGTTGGCAAGCATCGAGGAAACGTAAAAAGGGCAATAGTCTTCTGTACCGTCTGGCGCCTGGGACAGCATCGTCCATCGGCGCTATTCTCGACAGGCGCGGCCGCGTCGTCACGGACGACCAGGGCATGATCTCCGTGTTGCGGGAGTTCTGGGCGAATATTTTCACGGCCCAGGGGGTGCACGAAGAGCGATTGGCCTCGTGGCTGGACGAAGACACGACGCACCAGCGCGCACACGGTCCAGATCATTCTTCGCTGGGGGGCCTCCGGCTACGCCACAAGCGCATCAGGAAGGCGCTCCAGCAGTCCAACAGCTCCGCGCCAGGGCCGGACGGTATCCCATATGGGGCTTGGCGGGCGCTGGGCGATGTGGCCGTTGGGATTCTCAAGGGTGCGTTCGACGTGGTCGTTGCCGCGGACGGTCCGGCTGTCTTGCGACATGAGTATCCAGATTTCAATGCCAGCCTGTTGTTCTTTCTCCCCAAAAAGCCTGTTTCTACCGACAGTGATGGCATCGCAGTGTACGAGGCAAACGGAGTCCGCCGACTGGCTAACTGGCTCATCGCAAGCGCTGTTTGCATTGTCCTTGAGCCAGCTGTTGACAAGCTCATTATCTCCGACCAGCGGGGTTTCTTGACTGGCCGGTCGATGATCGCCAACTTGCTAGACATCGAGGAGAGCATGATGCAGCAGGCGGGCCGCGGGGATGACAGCATGGCTATATTTTACGTTTTTGCTGCTGCAGTCCCATCCAGTGAACACCGTTTGTTCCACGAGTTCTTTAGGTTTTTAAGATGGCCACAGTGGCTCTTGACGATCATCACGGTGCTCTATCAGGACAACTTCTGTCATATCCAATTTTAGGGTCGTCGATATCCTGGCTTCAACATTAGTTGGGGCATCCGCCAAGGTTGCCCTCTGTCGCCGCTGTTTCTTGCGATCGCCACTGACCTGGCCTCATGTAGGCTTCGAAGGTGCGTTCCGGAAGCTCGTGCACGGGCGTGGACGGACGAGTTGGCTATGGTGCTAGCTGGCGGTTACAGGCGCATTCGGGATCAGGAGGGTTTCTTTGCAGATTTTGCCAGTGTTTCTGGGCTTCATCTCAACGTAGCCAAGACGGTAATTTGTCCACTGTCCACTGCGGCAGTATACCGACTCGGAGGTCCGGAGCCGCGTTCAGATTGAGGCCCCATCGTGGGGAGGCGTGAACATTGCCGATGCCGCCAAGTACCTTGGACTCTTCGTCGGCCCGGGCAAGAAGGCACAATCGTGGAAGGGCCCGATTAAGCAATACCTTGACCAGTTGGCCCAATGGGGCAAGCTCGGCTTGGGTCTTCTGTTTACCCTGCAGGCTTACCAGACGTAGACTGTTTCAGTTCTTCAATTCGTCGCGCAGTGGTGCAGGAGCAGAAAGCCACCAGAGCCTTCCTACCAGGGCCTGCCGACTGGATTGCACCGTTCTTTTTGAAATGACGCGCATTCTTGGGGACTCCCACAAACCATGGTGGATATGCGTGCAATTGCTGATGCTGCAAAAGCCCGGGTGGTCTACTGGGAAGACCGCGCCTATGGCGGCCTGGATGTCCGACGGAGATCACGAGCTTGTTGAGCGAGGCGGGGTCGAACCTCGGAGTCTGTTACGTCTCGTGGTGGCAGCAATGGGCAGCCGATAGTTTATTCTTAAAGCTCGACCCCCCCCCGGGCACGTGTTCACCACGAAACAGCCTGGCAGCTCTTTCCCCCGCGAGGACCTCAACAAGAAGGTTGGGTGGCAAAGGGAAGCAACCGTTCTTTTCCGAAGGTGTCCCACGGTCGCTTCGTTCACCCTTTGAGAAGACGCACGGATCGCCGGAAGTCGTTGAACACCGTGCCTGGGCACAGGCCCGCTCGGGTCTGCGCGGCTCTGCGGGTGCTCGGCCAGCACTGTACTCCCCGAGCTCGGGCGGCCTGCGTGCGCTCCATCTGCAACGCATGGTGCACGAAGGGGCGATTCCAGCAGCGGGGATTATGCCGCTTCGGTTGCGGATCGGATTCCGACAAGCTGGAACAATTCGCAACCTGTCCTGTTGTCTGGTCGCTTCTGGACAGTTCTGGTGCCTGGCAGTGGTTTTTGCATGTCAGTGCATTGGATAGCTTATGGATGTGGGCTTTGGCAACAATCTGGCCGTGCAGAAGGGTCTCAGCCTCGATGCGCATGTCGCGCCTACAAGCCGGATGAGTTCCTCGACGCCTTGCTCCGTTTGCGGCAGGAATGCGGCCGCTAGCTTGAAACGCATATTTTCCGTGATGCCACGCGCTGGACTTTGCCATGCTGAGTACATCCAGCGAAGTACGTTCGACAAGTTGTGCTTTTGTGGGTGAGCGCCTTCTGATCGCCAGCCCTCGTGTCAGCCTTTTTTCCCTTCCTCCTCCTCCTCCTCCTCCACCTCCTCCTCCTTTTCCTCCTAGCATAATGTTGTGCCAGATCTATTCGTGTGGCCGTTTGGGCCACCCAGTAAGGGTTAGAGCACAATCTCTGTGCACCCGCGGGGCCGATGCGTTTCAAAGGGAAATCGTGTCATTCGCCATCCGGGTTTTCTTTCTTCGGTAGCATGCTGGCCCGGAAGAGGGGAACCAAGAATATCAGTGATGCACGGATCCCGTGGGTAGGTAAACTAGAGGGAAAAATAGGGAGGAACAGGAGGAGGAGCGAGGGAGGAGGAGGGCGGCGACGGGAAGTGGGGAAACGAAAAGTGGGGAGGAGGGTGGAGGAGGACGAGCACCACGGTGAACCTCCCTTCTCTTTCTGTGTCCCTTGTCCCCATTTGGCCTCTCTCGTCCCCCCCCCCCCTCCCACCTTGGTCCTCCCCGGCCCGCTCGGACTACTGTCCCGCGGCCTGGGGCGAGCGCGGCCCCCCGCAGAGGCAACCCCAGGGTCTGCTCACGCTGCCGCTGCTGCCGCCGCCGCCGCTCCTCCCTCCCTCCCTCCCTCCTCGCTCCCTCCCTCGCTCCATTTCTCCCTCCCTCTGGCCCCTCCCTCCCGCCCCTCCCTCCTCCCTCCCGTCCCTCCCCCCTTCCGACTTCCAGCTTCGGGAATTCGGCAGGTTTTTCAAGGGTTTCGGCCTCACGCGCCTTTACCGAATGGGCATACACGCGCTTCGCCGCATGAGCCTGCACCGGCGCCTCGCTCGCTCGCTCGCTCCCATCTGAGACCCGAGAGAGCGGCTCAGGTCGGAGTCCCAGTTTTCTGGGCAGAAGCCAGCCAAGCTGCCGACCGCCTTGCTGGCAACGAAGCTGCATGCTGCTGGCTCGAGGAATAGATTTGCTCACACATTTTCAAGCTCGCCCGCGAAGCGGACGAGATCAGGATGAGAATCTCCAACCTTGGTATTTGTTTGCGCGGTGAACCGCGAAAGCCTCGAGTCCGTGCCACCGCCAGCGAAGCATGCCAAAGTTAGTGTTGGAGCGAGGTGTTTCAACCAGTTGTGTGCAGAATCCCACTGCTCGGCGGGGCTAGTGTCACGCAACCCTAAGAAAATGCCTTGTTCTGTTTGCAATCAAAAACCAGCCACATGGGATGGTTACCAGCTTCGAGATTGGTTGCAGTCCCACTGCCTGCCAGCTTCCTGTTCAGGTAACTCGGCTCCCAACGGACGGTCAGCTGCTTATATGCAGCTAGCTCGTCGATCCCAGCCATCGTATGCAGTTTTACGAGCATGTGGATGGATGGGCCTGCCATGCTTGCGGCAGTATAAACATAGGATGCATCATCAGAGGACTGACCAAGCCTTGTAGCGTTGTCCTGCTGAAGGCAGGTAAGTCGAACCTCGATAACCTCGCCAAAGCAGATGGCCAAAGATTTCAGTGCAGCTCTCAAGTCAAGGCTATGCTAGCACTATCGCCACCAGCGGGACCAGCGGGCGCGTAGCTCGGTGAAAACCTGCTCACCCCTCCTTCGTCTTTCCTCCCCCTCTTTCCTCTCCTACTCCCGCAGAGACCTTGAGACCTTTCGGCAAAAGCAGGAGCGGTGCCATCCTGGAGTCCATCGTGGGCGCTGTCCTTCGGGCACCGGCGCTGGCCATCGATTGTCGTCCGTTGCGAGTCCGTTGGATCGCTGTCGCAGGAAGCCCTTGAGAATTGCAAGGAGTGCGACGACGGCGAGAATGGCAAGTACATCCGCAAGCTGAGCCATGCCAACGCGCCTCGGCTGGAGAAGATTTTAAGGAGGAGGACTAGGAGCATTATGCAGAGGAGGAGGAGGAGGAGGAGGAGGAGGAGGAGGAGGAGTATGATGATAATGCTGCTGCTGCTGCTGATGATGATGATGATGATGATGGTGATGGTGATGGTGATGGTGATGGTGATGGTGATGGTGATGGTGATGGTGATGGTGATGGTGATGGTGATGATGATGAGGAGGAGGAGAAGGAAAAGGAGAAGGAAAAGGAGGAGGAGTTGGCGAGCACTGAATTTGCATGTTGATGGCTGGTGCGCCTACATGTTTCATTCGTGTTCTGTGCGTGTTTGTATGTGCTTGTGTGTGTGTGTGTTTGGGGGGGGGGGCGCCGGTTCACGGCGCGTTCGGCTAAGTTCGTTCGCAGTTGGCACCTCCATTTGCCGCTTCTGTGCGCCAGCTGGCGCTGCTCTGCTGCCTGCGACCTTTGCGTCGTCCCCACCGCCAGCTGCCAGGCCTCTGCATTCTAAAGGAAGTTGGGCACAGGCGAGAGGTAGCGAGCGTTTGTCCGCGGCCGGTTGGGCTCAAGCGGCCGGCCGCCAACACATGACTGCGCGCCTCATCGCGACGCACACTATCTGCCATTGAAACCGAAAACACTTTCGCTTGACATGGCTCGTCGCTCCCGCGAGTCTCGTGCTCTTGGGAATATCGTGACAACGGTATAACAAATATGGAAATGGGCTTCGCCTTAGGCGAAGCATCTGGTTGGGCCTCCCGGCCCCCTTTCAAAGTTGGTAGCGGAGCTGTCCTGTGGAGGACAGCTATCGCTCCATTCCTCACCATCCACGGCAATATCTGTTGGACAGCAGACATGGTGGAACATCAGAGTGCAATCAATGGTTTTGCGCGGAGGAATGTATATACACACGCTCATGATTGCAAGGGCACTTGCCTTGCTGCCTCTGCTCACGCGGCCTCCTACTTGAGTCTTACCTGCCTGCGCTACTACAACCCTGAAGTCCACCCACCTACTCCAATTTGTAATTTCTTCGAAAATACGATGCATGGCAACATGCGATACGACACTTGTGCCGCCCCCACGCCCGCGCAAGCTGACGGCAACGCCACCTCACTAACAACAGCGACAAACAACCGACTACGACCTACGAGGCCATTGGATTGGTATTACCATATTTGGCCTTCTATGGGTCGCTGTCGGATGCGCTGTTGGACAAATTCAACGTGGGACCCTGCCGGTAACGTATTTTTTTTCGAATTCGCTCGCGAGGTACATGCCTGGATCAAGGTGACCAGGCACTAGGACCCCCTCCCAACAGGCTGCGGCTCTACAGCGTAGTCTGGGGGGGTTCGCAAGGACCATGGCCATGAGAGTTCCTCCCGCAGTAATTAACTTCGATGTTAACATCGGTGGTCGCCACGCCGATGGCGTCACCTATATCACGTCCCTCCTCAGCACTGAGTTCGAAAACCTGGAAGAGGAACGCCGATTCACCGTGGGAACAGCTCCCATTGACTTTCGCGCCCACGCGGGAAGACGGATCGACCAGGTGCTGGCCCGCTTCGAGATAGCAAGCCACGAAGTCGACACCGCAGGCTTTAACATGCCAGACTTCCAAATCCTGACATTCATATTGCTTAGAGCCCTAGGTGTTGGTACGTCGCGTGCACAGCAACTACTACAACCATTGATCCACCAAGTGTCAAGGACTCAGCAGCAGCTTGACGCCTTACTAGAGCGCATGAGAACTTATGCCCATATTGCCGTGCGAGCCCCTGGCAAAATTGGTGGTGCATTCAGCCATGGCCTCCGTGCTGACGTCTTTCATGCCGACAGTCAGGCAGGGCAACCTGCCAGCAGCGTCTGGAATGACGATCCACAACCAATCGAGGTCACCACTTTATTAAGCCAACAGGGTGGCCAGCCCACGAGGTCGCAATACTCCTGGGCTCGATATCAGAGACCGTCGACAACGGCGGCCCCTACCCAAGCAACTGCCCTCGCAGGCTCGGCGGGGCAACCCGCTGAGTCCGAGTGCGACTCCGGCGCCGACGCTGGCGCCTCACCAGATGAGGGGAATGGTAGCCTGGATTACTTTGACATGCTTGTGTATCTCACTGAAGAACAGCAGGCGCAGTGGCTATTCCAAGGACACCAGAAGCACAAGCGCCGATGGCGATATATGAAGAAACCAGTTCGAAAGGTGCGACGTGCTGTCCGACGGGCGTTCGGGTCAAAGGGCAAGGGTAGAGGCAAGTGTAAACGACGGAGATTACATGGCAGAGGTGCGCCAGCATTCTTTGGCATCCCTTGCAGGACCACAATCTGAATGCATGTGCCTGAGGACAGGTTGAGGCCGCAGGCGCGCCTCGGCAACGGGTGAGGGACGTCGGGGCAACCCGAAAGATGCCAGCGGGAAAACCATGGAATGTGATATCTGCCATAGTGCCCAGCATTTTCGTCGCGAGTGCCCCCGAGGCGATGGGGGAGGCAGCGGTCCGTCGATGCACGTGGGAACCGATTCCGACAAACCCACAGCCGCTGTCCATTTCACGTTCGCGAGGTATCTGAGCGCCAGCGTGACCCTCGAGGGGTGCGCCGAGGAGCTCTTCGAGAAAATCGACGTTGGCCGCGATGAGATTGACCTTGCAGATTGGCTGGGCATTCCTATCGCGGGGCAACCTGCACATGTAGAGTTCATCGAGGACTACGCGTCTGCAGATTCCGATGTCACTATCCCAGCTACGGAGGAGGAGGAGCTCCAATTGGCGCCCTGGCCGCAGGTGATGGGGAACCCGAAGTGCAGGGCAGCCTGCGACGACGACCCTCTGCGGGGCAACCCGCGTGACGCAGGCGACCTTTCTGAGCGCGTTCAATGCGAGCTCGGATACGATGAAGGCTCTCACTTCACTTTCGCAATGCGCGGCCAGTCCTCGAGCCGCCCGGTTTGGAGACGCGTGCGTCGAACTGATAATGCTGAAGGATGAGAAGCCGAGGGCCGTCCGCCATGCCACCGTGCGCGGAGTCATTCGTGCAGGCGCTCGCGCGCCCGCTCAAGCGGCGCGCGGCGCCGTCGCCTGCGCGATCCGAGAAATTCGCCGAGAAGGGGGCGTGCGCGGGGGGGGCCGCGTCAGGGCAACGAACGCCCAGGTGAACACGATGACCCTCGCCCAGTCGGACCTGTCAGCGAACGGAGCGACGGGCTTGCCCGCCATTATACACCAACATATGACATGGAGTACTGGCTGGACAGAGGGCACACCGTGTACGCAATCCGCCACTGGTGTTCATTGGATAATGCGACGCGGGGTGGCCGAGGCAAGATCGCCCGCGCCGGCAGAAGAGGCGGCGCTAGGACTGCTGCAGCGTTGGAAAGGAAGGGCGAGGAAAAGAGCCACCATTGCGGGACGGAAAGAGCATCGAGAAAAAGTCAGTGGATGCGAACACTCTGCGGACCACAGACCAGACAGCCCGACGGGGCGCCGTTCAAGGAGCGACGACTTCGAGCGGGCCGCGTGGGTCTGGCCCCACGGGGGTGGCCTAGGATACAGGGCGGGCCCGACCTGCAATCCTAGAGGGGCACTCCTGACCAAGGATGGCCACCAGCCGCTAAGCGATCATCAGGCACAACGCGCTGAGCAATGATGGGGGGGGGGGCTCGATGAGAATCGCCGACGTACGCGGTGCAATCGATGATGCCATGAGGCCATGCGCGAAGCGCAAGCGGCCTCTTCGGCGGGGCCACCCGCTTCTCCCTCTCGCGAAGGTGCCGACAAGCCCGAGGTTGTTAAAGAGGGCGATGCTTTTGGTCTCGCGCCAGCCGTTGATCCCGCTGCACCTGCGTCTGGATCGGAATATCCGCGCGAGGCCTACAGTAGCGAAACCATTGATCCTAACTTGGACATCGCTGATCCAGTAACGGAGGACATGGGCCTGGAACCAGGTGCGATAGTGGCGTGCCACTGCAGAAGCATTGGACGGGTAACTTCCAAGGCGCGAGGCAGGCTGCTCGATGGAAGACATAATCTGGATTGTAAAAGCAATGCTAATATTCAAAACGTAGTTCTGCACAAACCTACGGAGAAGCCTTCGCCAGACAGATCCTCTCCCAGGCGCGCGGGGGAACCTGCTGAGTCCGCTGGCGCGGGGGGTCCAGCTATGAGAGCAGACGAGCCCCCGAAGCCCCCGAAGCGGTCTGACAAGCAGCGATTTGATAAGGAAATTGAATTATCTCCATCATCAAGTACCCCTAGGCCACCCGCTCCAAGGTCACCTAGGTCGAAGAAGAGAACCGGCTCGGTAGAGGTTGGCCCTGGGGGCAAGAAAGCAAGAAGATTCGCGGGGAAACCAGCCCGTATATCATGCTCCAGGGGGCCAGCCGCAGCGGCCGCAGCGGCGGCGTTTCCATGGCGGCAGCGCGCCCTGGCCGAAGGGACCTGTTGCGCTGCGTGGCCCCGCGCCAGGCGGGGCCCACCGGGGGGCCGGCTGGGCGCCGTCGTTGGGCGCAGCATCCAGGCCCCATGCCTCGCGGCCCGACGCGGGCGGGGCGGTGCCCCAGACCGCGCCCGAGGCGCCGGGGGCAGCTCCGAAGGTGAGCGGGCGCCAGTGCTTTAATATTCGCGAGGAGCACCCGCGTGGAGGCGCAACGTCGCCCGCGGCGCTCGCTGCTGCTTCGGCTTTCGCGGGGGCACCCGCTGCGTCGGGATCTGCGTCTGTGGGGCGACCTGCAATTATCCTTGAGATTAATGGAGGTAAGCAGGCGCCACTGGGAAACGCTGGGCACCCCCCGATAGATGATGGTTAACACAGGGCGCAGGGCCAGTGCTGACGATGGCTCGAGCCGATGCAGAGTAATATTTTTCTCGGCCGCATGAACGGCGACATGCGTAACAGACAGAGCCATCGAATGTCTGCGTGCCCGCAATCGTTTGCGGCGAGACCCTGCCCATCGCTACAGCGCTGCTGCTGAATGACACTTTGCTATGCGAGCGCGAGTGCGACG